ACATGCATCTGCTGGGTTTCTTTACAGAGGAAACGTTTAGACCAGTTTGTCTGCGGGATTTGATTGCATTGATCATTAAAGTGCTTTGAGACAACATAGAATAAACTGTTGCATCATAAATAAAAGCACATCGATGTTAGGATGTTTCCTTGCTGCATGATTCAAACATCCAAAGACGTGTTTAGAAAAATGGTAAACAGCTGATCAGGAGCTGCAGTGTTTAAATCATTTTAAAGAGTCATTGTCATTTGAAACATGCAGCTAATAAACTGTTTTTCATAACTGCTTATACATGGTTACATCTTTAAAAGATGTTTCCGTAATATACTTTTTGAATTAAACTGATTAAATAATTTAATCAGAGTTCATTTGATCACATTTGAAATTTATTTTATATGGAGTGACATGGAAAAAAAGATTTCATGTTTCACAAAATACTTATTACTTCCCAAAAAAATATAAATTTGTTTCTTTGAAATATTCTTTTTCAGCCACAAAGGACTCCTTCATGCACACAAAATAAAAAACGAATTCTCTTGAACAACAAATTAGTTTTTGTTTCCTTATGTTCATGTGAAGAGTGCAGCCAATTAGTGCATTCATTACTTTTATCCTGGTGTTTTATGCGTCTTATAGGGAGCCGCCATCTTGAACCGTGTGGCAGATCTGATCTTTATGTTGACACGATGCAGGCAGAGGAGAAGGAAGAGGAGCAGCTTTAAAATGTTAGGAAACCTGCTGCCTAACATGAGCTGGAGCCTCAAAGTTCCTTCAAGATCATTAACTGGAGCTGAGTTTCATCAAGCATCAGAGTTTCTTTCCATCTGCAGCAGCATCATTTCTCTGATCCACCTACTGTTCTTTATCAGGTCTGTTCTCTTCCTCCTCTGGTTCTCACCTTCATCAGCTGCAGAGTCTGGCTCTGATTTAACCAGAGATCCATCCTCTGTGCTGATTGGCTGCACAGGAACGCTTTGCTTGTGGTCTGGATGGACGAACATCAACCTCCTTCCATCTGCCTTTAACCCACCTGCCCAATATATATATATATATATATATATATATATATATATATATATATATATATATATATATATATATATATAAGATTTGCAAGATAAAAACTTCATCTTCAATGACAAGTAAAGAATCACTCAATTTTTCGTCGGATTGGTGACGTATTTACGCCGTAGGGCGCAAACATTTTTACCCAATGGCCGTTTCTCATTTCACATGTTCTCTCCAACTCCGTTCTTGACTTGGACTCGTGTTCTCTCCAAGTCCGTTCTTGACTTGGACTCGTGTTCTCTCAAAGTCCGTTCTTGACTTGGACTCGTGTTCTCTCAAAGTCCGTTCTTGACTTGGACTCGTGTTCTCTCCAAGTCCATTCTTGACTAGAACCCAGAAGGTCTGGACTCGGGGAGAACAGAAGCACACAGCTCCTTTGGTAAACCGCCACCATCAGAGAGCCCCTTTCCTTCAGGGATCGCCTCCTTTAGGCGCCCCCTTCCTTCAAAGGACCCCCCATCTTTGGGGAACCTCCTTCTTCAGGGCCCCCCCTCCTTCAGGTTCCCCCTCCTTTGGAGAACCTTCAGTTGGTCCACAGGCTGCTGGGGTTATCCAGGCAGCTGTTAGTGGTCATAATGTTCTGCCTGTTTGGGTGGAGTCAGCAAGGTGGGGCTGTTTAGTTCTACTTGTGACAAATCATGCGTCACAATGAGGTTTTTCCACAGGAAGTCATTTCTCCACATCTTAGAAATAAACAAGCAGAGCTTCAGGTTAGAAAGGCTGCGGCTGTTTTACTAAAGAAGAAGAAGGGAAGACGGCGAGTAGGATTCACTGCCGGGGAACAGTGGATGCATTTAATGAGTCAGACATAGAAAAATAAATCACAACCAAGCAACACATGGACTGTACAAAGAAAAGCTGAAGGACAAAAGTCTTTTCTGAGACGACGTCTGGAGAGCGGAGGAGGGGAAACGTGATGGACGCATGTTTGATGGCACAGGGCGGGAGTCTGATGCGATGCCTCCGACACGCACACACACACGCACGCACGCACGCACACACGCATCATCACACGCATCATCGCACAGAATAACCAAATTAAAGGGTCATTTCACAACATATTCCAAAGCAAACCTCTTAAGAATTGTACAAGTATAAAAAAGCTACAAACATTAATAAATTACATCACCGACACAGAAACACTTCACAAGGTGCTAGTAAAATAATTCTGAAACCTTCAGGATACTAGAAGTCGAACAAGAGGCTGGTCAGAAACTTTTTTCCTTTACTACAGTTTTTCCTCAAAGCTTCGTTTCTTGTTCAAACAGAATCACAATACAGTTAGCTTTGTGTATGTAAGGCCATATGACGACAACATGTTGCTCATTTCCTGTCCGTTTCCAGGCAGCACCGCCACAGCCAGCAAATAAAAATACAGAAACACAACGTCATCGGGTTGCAAACCCACTTAGACGCTTTTCGATTTACATTATTCGAAATAAGTAAAAAGATTCTGGAGCGAAAAAGGATAGAAAAAGTCTCTAGAGTGGAGCAGGGCGGTGGTGCTGCCTGGGAAAGAGAAGCAGACAGGAAGTATCCCCATGGCGACGCTGCTCTGTCACTTCCCCCGCCGATCCGCTGCGTCCTCGTGTGCGTTGGACATCGGTTCTGATCCTGTGCTTCTCCTTTCCTACCTAAAGATTAGAATAAATAAAGCCGCCCCTGATGGGGCTCGGCGCTGATCCGATCGGATGCCTCAGGAACCTTTGACCTCAGTTTGGTGATGAGAGGCTGGATCCCCGACCCAGGACAACCCAAGACCAAGATCCTGGACCCAAACCTGGACAAGGACCAAGAGCTGAACCTAGATCCAGTCACAGCGCAGACATAGAGCTGTAACCAGATCAGGAGCGCCACCCAAAGCACACAGAACATGCTGGGGATACTTCCATGGATCTTGGAATGACTGCAATGTACTTCTATTGAACAACCCCTGATAAAATGACAGCTGTAGTAAAATGAGACATGTTCTCTTAAAAAATATTTATAATAGCTTCTGTACACTTTAATATCTGAAAGTTATAAAGTATAAGTAGAGGCAAAAACCTATCTGAGTGATGTTCTTCTTAGAAATTGAAAAATGCATGATTTTCCTCCTCTCCCATAGAGTTTCAGTCTGTTTTTTTTCATAAACTCCCATTGTTGGCTTTTCTAGGTGAGCAGGTTGACTCTGGGATGGGAGCCGGTCCCTGAACCGCTGCATGCTACAGGAGGAGCTTCCCGTTTCGATGGATCTTCAGGATCTTTCCAAGTCTCTGTTTGGCTGTTGCCATTCCTTTCTTTAGCCGCTTAGCTGTGGAGAGATGGAAACACAACAGGAAGTTAGATCCAAGGTCCAACAGACCAAATGAAGAGACACTTCAAGCAGGATCTGAAATTACAGACCCAGAGTCAGACTCACCCCGTTTAAAGAGTCAG